CACAGGTTCGGCATCACAGGTTCTGATCTTTGGGGTTTCGTTAGTCTTAGCCATTTATGAGCTATCAATATGTTGACGTGATTTTGGCTGAAAGCAATTATTTTACATCGGCGTTACGTAACAACGGCAACTCTGTACAGCGCTGTTGTCATATTTTTCTCTTTGTGCAAAACAAACTGAACTCGGTTGAAGGCGTAATTTATGCCCCATGCTTAAAGCATGTGCCGGAAGATGAAATTGTGCGCGAAATGGGCAGTCAAGGAGTGACTGAAGTCTACAAATTCACCAAATTAAATGATGATGGAAAAAGGCGCTTTCCTACAGGAAGAATTATTTTGACTTTTGACCGCTATCGACTACCGGCAACGGTTGATGTAGCTTGGTACAAATGTAAAGTAGAACTCTACATTCCAAATCCCATGAGATGTAAAAACTGCCAACGCCTGTGTCATACGGCAAAAAGATGCATCAGTCCTCCATCCTGTGCTAACTGTGGTCTTCCTCCACATGCTGAAAACAGTACGCGTAGTTTCTGCTTAAATTGCAACGATCAACACTCTGCGTTAGACAAACATTTATACAAATGCGTGAAATTCTAAAAATCAAAACAGAAAATTACTGTACCATGGGTGAAGCGCGACGCAAATACCGCGAAAGAAATCTGTCTGTAGCCCAAGGAATTGGAAAAAGTAATACCTACGCTGCTGTTGCCTCGCAAATCGTGCCTAGTAAGCCTTTAACTCCAACTCCTTCTAATGAAAAATGTGTTTCATCATTAACCAAAAATTATATTGTGAAATCAGTTACATCACCCGCCAAAGATAATATTGAAAAAACCAAAGCAACACCAAATATTGAAAAAATTAAAACAACAACATATATGCTAAAATCTAATATACTAAATTCTCCAGAATCTCCAGCTCTCAACTTTACTCAACAAATTACAAGTGGTAATGAATCCATTCTTTCATCCATTAATCAACCTTCAACTTCAAATTATTCACGTGCGCCCACTCGTTGCGCTTCAAATGTACCAAACCACCTAAGTGCAGATTATTCAGCTGGTAAGAATAAATCATTCACGAAAAATTCCTATAGCGACCTTCTCGACGAAGACGCTGACATGTCAACTTAACTTTAATTCCACTCTGCTTCCATGTCATTACAATTAAATAAAGTTTTTAAAATTCTACAATGGAACATTAAGGGAATTGTTAATAATTTTAATGAACTGTACACTCATAAGTGATTTTAATCCAACCTTTTTATCGCTTCAAGAAATCCATTGTAGAAGCTCTTTTAATCCTATTCCACCCAAATCATATACTGGATACTTCACGAATGCTGATCAAAATTCATATTCCAAACAAGGAGTAGGTGTTTTTATAAAATCAAGTATACCTCACAAACGCATAAATTTTAGCTCAAACATACAATCCGTAGCCATACAAATAATGTTAAGCATAAAATTTACAGTGCTTTCGTTCTATATTCCACCTTCGCAATCGTTTTCTCGGCACGAACTCTACAATTTATTCTCCGTACTTTCCCCCCCATTAATTATATGCGGCGACTTTAACAGCTGGAATACCATCTGGGACTCAACAGTGAACAACACTCGTGGTACTGTTTTAGAAAAGGCCTTCATTCAAAACAATCTCTGAATTTTAAATGATGGAAAACCAACGCACTTTTCAACTCACCACACTTTTTCACATGTTGATTTAACTTGTTGCTCTCCCTCACTTCTTCCTTTGGTTTCCTAGTCTATTTCTGATGATCTGCATAATAGCGATCACTTTCCAATCATAATCGATCTTAAACTTTCATCGTCCTCTGTTACTCCAGGCCAAATTCCTCCTAGATAAAGCGAATTGGATTAACTACTCCAAACAGGTGGAGTCATTTTTGAATTCAAAGCCATTTAACGGGAACTACAACCATGATGCTGCTATTATGTCTAAAGCGATTCGCACGGCTGCTCATCTTTCTATTGCTCAATCCAATAGCTCTTTTGAACGAGCTATGGTTCCTTGGTGGAACAACACGCTTTCGTTTCTGAGGAAAAATAAAATGGATCTATGGCACCGCTTTAAGAGATGTCCTGATCAGAATCATTTGTTTTTATACAAAAAGGCCAATGCTCTATTCAGGAAGGAATTACGAAAATCAAAGGCACTTAGTTTCGAACTTTTTTCAAAAAGAATTCTCAAAAATACATCAGTGAAAGTTGTCTGGAACAAAATAAATAGACTCAATGAGACTTCAAATCTGAACGAAATCTCTGCCAGCTGCACTCCCAATGGAACTTTAACTGATGCAGATGAGATTTCTAATTACTTTGGGAAAGTGTGGTGCGAATATTCCTCTGACAGCAGCTTTTCCAGTGCTTTCATCGAAAATAAAAGGACTCCAATATCTCTTTCAAATAATATTGATGGATGTCGCATGTTCCTGGAAAATTGCATATCCACCTTAGAACTTGGAAGTTGCCTCTCCAATTTGAAGGGGAGGACACCTGGTCTAGACCGCATCTCATACCAAATGATCAGTGCGCTGTCTAATTCAAGTAAAAAGAAATTACTGGACCTATATAATACGATATTTTTGACTGGCCATATACTTTATATGTGGAAACTGGCAGCAGTTGTTCCAATTCCAAAGTTAAAAAATGTCTCCATCGCATCTGATTATCGCCCAATTTCTCTTTTATCTTGCCTCTCAAAGGTATTGGAAAAGATTATGGCATCTAGATTATCTTGGTTTCTTGAGATCAAGAACTTGATAACAAAGCAACAAGTTGGTTTCAAGCGGGGCAGAGGGTGCATCGACGCTCTGTTACATATTGACTATTTTACAAACAAAGCAATTTCCAAACGAAACCAGGTAACAATTCTTTCAATTGATTTCCAAAAAGCATTTGACAGAGGTGGTCTTCATGTTATTTTAAGACTCTTGAAATCATGGAATGTTGGACCCAAATTTTTCAACTACATCAAATCATTCATGTCGCATCCACGGCTTAAAGTTAGAATCAACAATCATGTCTCTGATTCCTTTCCGCTAATGAATGGCATTCCGGAAGGATCTTCTCTTTCTGTCACGCTCTTCCA